AAAATTAAACATTAATATTTGTAAAAAAATTCTCAATATATAAAAAATAAAAAAAATAAAAAAATTTATAATCCCCTCACTATTTTTCTAATACAATCTCCCCAACCTCCATCTTAATCCCCTCCCCAATCTCCATCTATAGCACCTCCATCATCCTAATTCCCTCTCAACTCTTAAAATAAACACAATACTAAATAACACCTCCACCATCCTAATCCCCTCCCATCTACTTAACCCCAAAACAAACGGGCCCTTATAGTATTTATTGTCTTAAAGGCATGGGTGTTCTCTAATCTTTGATTATTTATTACATTCAATGGTTTTTAATTGATTGAATATATTTGTCCGGGAGCCAGAAAAATATCCTAACTCTAGGGGTATAATACCCTAAACAAATATCATTTATCCCCTATAAAAGGAGAGGACCTCAAACACAAGCGGTATGCCTCATCTCTTTTTGCTCCACACAACACATAAACAATGTTCATTTTTATACATTCATTCTTTCAATCAAATGACTAATTTTACCATCGGAGTGTCTCCGGCTAGCAACCCCGGTTGGGTGGCGCCGATCATGCTCATTTTTGCAGATATACAGGGACAAAATTCATCTCTTCGTTGGATCTCTACAGTCCATGTGATTTCATGGTCTCACAATTGGCACCGTCTGTGGAAAACGTTTGAGAATTCAATGAAGAGCAGAGCAAACACTATATATATATATATATATATGTATAGGTCTCTATCTTTATGCTCATAGATTCTGTGAAATAAATATTAAGCATGAGACGAAGGTAGTGAATCTACCATAGAGTCTAAATTTTTTCTCTCTAAAAATGGGTTTCACACTTCTTTGTGAGAACATCTTTTCGGCTTTACAAAAAAGGTTCCCGGCCAAACCCACTCTGGGACTTTATTTATTAAATTATTATCTCACAAAAGTTGATTCTTGGAATATATATACATGTGCATATGCTGACAATTAACAGGAATTAAAGAATTGTATTATGGTTCAATAAGCTGTAATGTGGTTCATTAAGCCGAATTGCCAACTCGCCCCAACTTCAATTCGGCAACTTCAGTCATGCAGGACCAATTCAAGGATTGGTCAAATGGGTACATCGGAAGATCTATGGCCATGAACAAGCTTTGTACACAATTTCCTCGGCCTCTCAGATCCTTCGTCGCAGGCACAAATTGATTGGCAAGCAATCAATTACCGAGTTCCAACCCCATCAATTTCGAGCTTGATTTCGCCATCTCCGACTTCAGCGTCGTCTTCGGCTTGGACTATTTGTCCAAAACATACCTCAAATTCGGCTATCACAACTACGCCTATTCGGCAACCACCAATGAACCAACTTACATCCACTGGCCCAACGAACAAGTCGGCAACTTATTGGCTTATTCGGCATATTATCAACAAGGAGTTTCAACGACTTATTGGCTTATTCGGCAAGTTTTATTTTTATTCATTTTGCATGTTATCAACTCAGCTTCAACAACTTATTCGGCAACTTACTCGGCATATTAGCAACTACAAATCCGCATATTATCAATTCACAAATTATTCGGTATATTACTGCTGCAATTCGCAGATTATTCGACATATTATCAAGAGCAAATTAATATCAACTTTGCATTTTATCTAGCATGGACAACTTGTTTGGCACTATGATCTCGGCAAAAAACTAACACCTCGGCTTACCAAAATCCACATCTAACAATACCAGAGAATTCGCGTCAACTCAAGGAGTCCAGAGCCAGTAACCAGAGGAGTAAAAAAGTAACCAATGCTTGCCGATAGTTGTGCAACAACCCATATTTACAAAAAGCTGCAATTTTCAACATTGTCGAAATCTAGTTTTGATCATACCAATGTGAAGTACTCATCGAGATGAGTCCAACACAACAAATCGCGTCGAAATCGGAGCTAAAACAAAGCTATACGGGCCGATCAAAGCTTACTCAAAAAGTGAATTGTTTCGTTGGAGAAGACGACCAACAAGCTATACAGAAATTATCTTGTGCTTTGTGGTTGCATTACGCCCTATTGATCAAAGCCCTCAGATCTATTTTGGGTAAAACTACGCCATTAGTAGTCCGATTCCAACGATCCAATAGTTGTTTCCAACAATTTTGAGCCTCTAAACACATCCATATGGTTTGATTTTGTACATTTCATACCAATAATTTGTTGATTCTTTATGCAGTGCCACTCTCGCAACTCTCCATGCCGTATTCAACAATTTTGGCATCTTCCTGCCTACATAACAGCTCGCATCATTCAGCAATTTGGGCTCAAGTCTATTCCAAATGCCTTCCGAATAACCACTTCCATGCGAAAGCACTGGGGCTACGTTGTTATCGGCTTACTTCTTGGCACTATTGGCCACCGTCCACTCTAAATTCTGTGCAATTTAATCAGCTTAATACTCATCGCCGAAATCACCGTACAACTTTTATATACGCCCGGTAGTTCTTCGCATATTTTTACGCGTTGTCATTATTATAGCTTTGCAGCTTTCCATTTTTTGTGCCTGATATATCTGTATTAGTTGGTACATGCAATCATTGACATGCTTTATAAACCTTGCAGGGTCTGCAATTGATCGTCGCTCGACACCAACAAAAGCCTCCATATTTTGGAGCTCGCCGTACTCGACACATAGAAATATCTCTCACTCGGCACGGAAGGCCATCTTTTGAAGCAGTTTTCGCACTTAGCACTACACTACACTACACCCTCGCCCGAGGGTAATATTACCGCAGCATACACCCTTACTCGGGGGTTATAATACCGCGGCATACACCCTTACCCAGGGGTTATAATACTGTGGCCTACACCCTTGCCCGGGGGTTACAATACCGTGGCCCATTGTTACAGAAATCGCTGAGGTAGTAACCTAACATCTATTTGAACAGTGTAGTTCGGCAAGGCAACAAAAACTATCATTTCTTCTATCGCAGACAATGAAAGTTTCGAAGCAATCATACATTCACATATATATACATTCATACACGCATTCATACGTGCATTTGTTCATTTGCTTTGTTCATGTATATATGTATCCACAATGTTTTTTCTAGGGGATTTCATATTTATTCAAGTAATATCGCTTGGCAATGTGGTCCAAAGTCAGCAAACTCAGAACAAAAAAACTTCCACCTCTTGTGTCAAAAAAAGCGAAAGTTTTGGGGTTATTGTGGAAGCCAGAAAAATATCCTAACTCTAGGGGTAAAATATCCTAAACAAATATCATCTATCCCCTATAAAAGGAGAGGACCCCAAACACAAGAGGTATGCCTCATCTCTCTCTACTCCACACAAACACTCTTCATTTTTATACATTCATTTTTTCAATCAAATGACTAACTTTAACATCGGATTGTCTCTGGCCGACAATCCTGGTTGGGTGGTGTCGATCATGCTCATCTTTGCAAATATACAAGGACAAAATTCATCTCTTCGTTGATCTTTACAATCCATATGAGAGGATATTTCATGGTCTCACAGCTTGCCCTGTTAAAAGGAACTTTGCGATTTTTTTAATATGAGAGTTAAACATAAACCAAACAAACAACAATAAACAACAAACCAAAATACAACTTATAACGTCAACAAATCACCCAATACAAGATCATATAGGTGCCGTTTGGTAACACTTACGTTTTCAGTTTATATTTACAAAAATTTAAAAAACTCAAATAAAAACTTATTTGGTAAATTTTTGAGTTCTAAATCAGTGGTCTCAGTTTATAAATTTGGCCAAAAAATGTAAACTCAAAAAAAGAGTCTTAGGCCAAGAAGACATCTCATATTTTGGGTTTGGGCCGAACTATGGACCGAGGTATCGGTAGAAAGAGGACCGAGCTAAAACGATAGCTCTACAGGACGTCATCTTGAAGTCAAGACTGATAGTAATGCTTAAACTATCACAGAGCCGAAGTAACTTGGCTGACTGCAATGTTAGCCGAGGTAATGATGTCAGCCGAAATAAGTGGGCCTAGTGGTTAGCCGAGGTATTGGTGAGAAAGGATGTCGGGCTTGGTATAACTCGGCCGGTCTTGGTATAACTCGGCTGGGCGCCATCTACATCATTACTTAAGCGTGTGACCGAGGTAACTTAGCTCAGTGTGGTTGCAGCAGCTTATTAAAAGGAGGTAGCATCAATGGCGAAGGCCGAGCTGTGTATAGCTCGGCAGAGTGGCATCCGATAGATCAGCTTTCAATCACACAGTCCGAAGGGCAGGGGACCGAGATAAATCAGTTCGGGCAAGAATGTATAACCGAGGTAAAAAGTTCAGCCATCTTACTTGGCTTGCAGTGATGAGACTCCTAGTAGGACTCTGCTAAGGAGAGTTAGAGTCCTACTGGGATTGTGTAAACCATCTCACTTGGTTGGTAGTGAGTAGGAGTATGACTCCTAGGAGGACTCTGCTAAGGAGAGTATAGTCCTACTAGGTTTGTGCAAAACCACCTCACTTGGTTGGTAGTGAGTAGGGTGTGTGATTCCTAGGAGGACTCTCATAGGGAGAGTTGGAATCCTACTAGGATTGTGCCAAAGTAAAGTCTATAAAAGCTCATGACCAGACCTATGGACAGGTATCCCAATTCTTACTCTAGAATACACAGAGCTTATTGTCTATTGTCTAGTTGCTGACTTAGGCATCGGAGGGGTTTCCGGCACACACCCGCCGGTTAGCTCACGTTTGTGTTTTCAGGTGGCAAAGTAATATTGTTTGGAGGAATGCAAACTTGATCAATAGGATCATACGAGAAGATTTATTTCTTTCCCGTACAGAAACCAATGAAGCTAAAGTTGCATACGGGAAAGTTCCTGGACAATTTTCTAAGGCTAGGCAATAAACACTATGAACAAACACAATGTTGCCAAACAACATATATACTCCCTAGAATTTGGCCAAAAAAAAAAAAAATTACTCTTCCATCAAAGTGGAAACATACAACGGAGAAATGAATACTAAAATACCCAATTTGAAAGAAATCAAACTTGGCAAACCAGAGTACACTAACATATTTTTAGTAATGCATGTGAAAGAGAGCTGAAGTTATTTATTTTGGAAGACAGGAATTACAAGCGTTAAATGGTGTGCTTCAAGGCCTACACCTAATACATTATGAGATCCCAAGGAGACAATGTAAATTCCATCATTGCAGCTGCATCAAATATTCTTGGTCCATCGCAAAAAAGGCCTTCAAATTAAGTTTAAGAGCTGAAATCTAGCACTTCATAGAATGTTTGAATGAAGTACAAGATCATTTTTGCCGACCTAAAAGCAAGATAAACTATAAAAGCCAAAACACATGGAGCACGAAAAGTGACCTGTTTGGACTCGAAATCTTTTGCAAGCAGCGTGATATCCCCATAAGAATGAAATGTTTGTACAGTTAGTGTAACCAAGCAAGACTCAGCAATCCAGGATTCAATCTAAGACCAGACTAGAGATATGTTGTTCTGCAAACCAAACAAGTCAAGTGTTAGTTCAACTTGTTGTAACTGAGTTAGGTAGATGTTTTGTAAACATGTGGAGTGTATATAATTTCAGATCTTCAAATTTCCAGTGGAAACTTTGTTATACATGGCTCTGCCCTAGGAATCATGGCAATACACCAATAGTTACTAAAAGAATACAAAAGGGAAAAATTTCCCAAACTAAAGACGGACAATAGGAAACTATTCCTCCAATTGTAATAAGTTAACATAGTGCACATAGAAGACACGAGGGCTGTTGCATGTGCAATTACACCCAATTTTAATAGGTACCATATGCCATTTGTTTGGAACCAAATAACATGAAAACGTAGACAATACATGAATGAAAACTTTTTGACATGGATTTATCTTTAATATATATGAGGAACAAAATTTTCGTTTGTTTCTGTTGAAATGGCCAAAGTGTTTCCATTTCCCAAGAGGCCGAAATGAAACACTAGTGGAATAATAAAATTCTAGTGTTTTCATTGAAACACATCAAAACATAGTGAAACACACCAAAACATAGTGCGATATACTGAAAGAGTAAATTGTATCTATACAAATTTAGAAATTTTCATTTATTGCTACTGTTTAAGTAAGTTTTTAGACCTCATTGGAAATTTTTGTTTGATAAAATTGAGTTATTTGACAATGCTTAATAATTTTTAGTTCATGGTGACATTAGTTTTTTAATCCTTTTACTTGAATGGCTATAATCAATTATTAGCTTTTATACATTTAGATATATTTCAATTTATGTTTTCAAACATTTTTATTTAATTTTTATTTCATAAAATATTTCCGCGATGTTTTTGTTTTTGTACTATTTGAAACAACACACCGGAAATTTTGATCCTTGTATATATATAATATTACTTGAAATCCAAGGACCAGGAGTCATCAATTGGCTAATTCTTTGTGCACAGCTGCGAAAAAAAGGGCAGGCTTCCACACACAAATGCAGTAGACATAACATCACACAAATTCAATTACAATATTTACGGTGTGTTAAAGATCCACTGGTTCTGAATTGCTCAGGAGATTAAGCATATGAAATATAGAACATGTTGACATTATAAAAAATAATTAACAAATTGTATGTAATGTGCCCATTAAAAACTTTGATGTATAAGAATATAATTAATATTAAAATATTAAGTGAAGCCAACAAGGAAACAAATATTAATCAAATAATGTCGACTCACCCTCTAAGCAAAATGGGCAGCATTTTCCTCCTGATTTTCAAGGGGTAAGATAACAGGATGATACTCTACCTGTACAATTTAATAAATGGCTTCAACTTTTTACAACATACAAATTATTTTGTAACCAAAATTCAAATTATAATATAGTCAAGGACACATCATATAAATGCATATACATTTAAGTTGATGAATAATCAGCATTGATGATCTGCGAGAGTGAATTAGTTATCAAAAGAAAAATAGCAAATTGGGCCATCACTATAACAACCTATATATATGAATTGCCACTTCACACAACATACTACCCAAAAATTTTACAAACAAAAATAGTGGGGGAAACCAAACTCACTACATTTTTAGTATAAAAAATCACTCAACATACCTCTATGAAAATGTGAAACTTTGAACATTCTAAACATGAGCTTTCCCAAAGCTATATTTCCCCTAAACAAAATGATAGGCCATATGATGCAAGTTAGGTAAAGACATTATGAAAGACAACAACAAAACGGTTTCAACTAAAGAAAATTCTTACCAAGATTGGTCAAAGTGTACATGGGGATAGCGAACAATCACTAGATGGACAGGATATCCAGGGACAATTGCACCAAGTTGGAAAGAATGAGAACTCTTCCATTTGTTGTGGTTCCTTCGGGAAATAAAAGCAGGCAAGGAAATCTATCGGAATATGCCTCTCTTTGTATTCAAATCCTTGAAAGCACATATCTGTATCAAATAATCCCTTATAGATTGATAAAACTTCTTTGAATTCTTTTCATACAGAAAATGTAACAACTCCAAGTATACAATTAAAATTGCTTTCAATTTCCATATTTATTAGAATAGCTCACCAAAAAGAAATTTGAACACCAGATATGCGTATATTTGTTTGTAACCTTTTAAGTTTTCTCTTCCAACAACAAAAAAATTATTTAATTTTTCTAAGCATTTGCAAACTACTTAGATAATTTCATAGCATTTCATTCTCTTTCCTTTTTTTTTTTTTAACATTACCCTCATTTGACTGGCCAAAAAATTCCCGCTTCAACAAGAATTTACACCAGCTTAATCACTTTCAATTTGACTTTTCCCTAGTCACTAGACAGGTAACAACTTAACAAATACAAAAATAATTTATTAATGACTAGCATAGAAAACCCAAAAAACTAAGGTTTGGTTTTCATAATCAATTTTGAAAGATAATTTTCTAAAAATTTGTTTGGTTGTATATTCTAAAAATATTTTTTAGAAATTTGAAAATCCAAAACTCATTTAGTTTTTAGAAATTGAAATAATTTTTAAAACTCTGTTCAGTTTTGGCGTTTTCAAAAATAGTTTTTAAGTTTCAATCCATATTTTATAATTTTCAGTGAACTCTTTAAGTATTTTAATCAATATTTTTTTAAAGTTTTTAGATCCAATCAATCTAAATACACCTAAAACATATTAAATTTATGAAAAAAATGGTTTAAAAAATCACTAAATATTTAATACATTTTTGTATTTATTTTGTATTTATTAAATTTTTTAAATATTTTTTATTTTTTAATTTTTTTTAAGTATATGTAGATTAGATGCATTTAAAAAGAAAAAGAAAATTAGCCAATATATTAAAAAAATATGAATTAAAAATTTTAAAATTGTTTTTGAAAACTGCAAAACCAAACAAAATTTTAAAAATTATTTACTCATTCCATAATGGTCATCTGAATTTAAATTTAACATATGTTTTTCATTATTTTCAAAAATATTTTTTTGTTAATTCAAAATACAAATTTATTTTGTTTTAAATTTTTATATGAATTTGCAAATAAGTTCCTCATCCAAAAAAATTCGATTAACTTGAAAATATAATGTATTGCATACTTCAGGGATCCCTCATTCAAAAAAAAAAAAAAAAAAAAAAAAAAAAAAAAAAATGAAAAAAAAAAACAGAAAAAAAAATGAAAAATGAAAAATGATAAGCAAAAACAGTTATGGTTTTTCATACGATTTTCTATTTTTGAAAAAATATTTTGTTTTTAAAATCTGTAAATATTTTGAAATGTATATATTTATCAAATTAGTTTATGTTTTGATACCTGGCAATTTGATTGCTTGTATTGTGATGGGAATTTCCACATGGTTTAGAACTTAGAATCATTAATCATCAACCATCAACGTTGACACAAGGAATGTGAGCTAAGTGGGGCCAATATTTGCCTTTCCCCTTTTCACACTTCTCTGTTAGTTTCCGACTTCCCCCGATGATCGACAATCTCTTAAGTGAGGGAGGCAACCTTTGCACTGGTAAAGATTTGAGCATAGGGCAACCACCGATTTTAAGAAATTCAAGAGAGGCGAGATTTTGAAACAATTTAGAAGATAGCTTCTCCAGATTTCGGAAACCCGAGATATGAAGATCGATCAGAGAGGTGGACAGCAACATCCCATCTATCGGAAAGCTGGAACCCACTGAATGTTCTTCGTCTTTGCCTTCAATCAACAAGATTTTAAGAGAGGATAAACTGTGCAAACCAATCTTCTTGAAGTTGTTCCATTCTGAAATATTCAAATACAGGTCTTGAAGAGAAGTGAGGTAGTTGATGCTCTGCAATCCGTGTGGTAGGGCCTTCAGTTTTTTGCATCCCCTGATATTCAAATATGTTAGATTTGTTGCGGAGTGGAACCATCCTTCTGGAATGTACTCCAAATTCTTACACCCATACAAGATCAATCGACTGAGATTCTTGAGATTATCATTATTAGGAAGGGCATCTGGCAAGTATTTGAGCATATAACAACCCCAGATCTGAACAGACTCAAGAGATGGACAGTTAATTTCCATCCCTTCCTCTACTAGCAGTGCCTCCAACTTTTTACACCTCTCAATCTCAAGGTGTTTGAGTGTGGGTGGTAGCCCCCCACCTCTGCACGATATCAAGCATGTGAGGGATGGACAATTCTCAAACGTTAACACTTCAAGATTATTGTCATTAATTTGCGTTATCCACCCAAATAAGGATTGCAGAGCCTCACAATTACGTATCTTGAGTGTTTTCAGCGTGCACGGAAAGCCTGTCTTTGGAAAAGAGACGAGACTTGGACAGTTATAGACATATAACTCCTGAAGAAAAGTGAAGGTATGTAGTAGCTGTGGCAGTTTCTTCAACTTTTCACAATTATATATTCTTAAATGCTCAAGCCTCGCTATGCAAGGGAGTCCCTCTTCTTGTTGTTGTTGATGTTGCCATTCATTTTCTTCATCCTTATCTTCTTTAAACAATGAAAGAAGCTGGGGACAACCTCTAAGTTGCAAACTTCGAAATGCAAGGAGACTGTGCTGCACTCTCGCCTCATTCTTCCACAGTGTCTTGAGTTCTTCACAGCTTGTAATCTTCAATGCTTTGAGTTCCATCAGCCCATGAGTAACCCATTTCGGCAAGAGCTCGAGTTTCTTGATCATCTCAATGCTCAAGGAAGTTATTAAACTCGGATGCTTACACTTTGCATTTGCTGATATCACTTCATCATCAGCCATACTCCCCATCTCAAGGACCGTTTCAAGGCTTGTTAGAGGGACGCCATTCATAGCTATACAGGTGAGTGATGGGAGGCTAATGCTGGAACCTTCAACTACGAATTGCGGGCACTCTGAAATCTTTAGATTATTCAAACAAGGTAGATCAGTAGGCAACATTTTAAGAAGTTTAGGACATTTTATTAGGGAGAGATACTTGACACGTGTGAATGGTTGAACTTCCTTGTGATCTTCAAAAGTATACCAATCCTCCCATTCTGGCATATTTTCAAAGCTTAGAGTCTCTAGTAATGGAAAAGGTTGAACACCACCTTGCCCATAGAACTCACAACCGACATGCTTTAGTACACTCATTCCTTTAATGTAAAGCTTTTTGAGGGAGGGTTGTTGTCCGAGTGGTGGCAAGGATGCACAATTTCCACAATTATCTAAACTTAGGTTAGCCATATTGGAGAACAGAGAATCTCCTATCCAAGTTGGAAATCCTGTACCAAGGTAGCCTTTGATATGGAGGTCTTTTAAATTCTTGTGAGGTTCTAGCTTGTCAAGCACTTCTGTTTCTACTCTTCCATCTCATGAATCATCTGAGTTAACACTCCATTCCATTGATAACACATATAACCCCTTCTTCTCATTTAAATTCGCCTCCCTTGTATCTAGAGGATTCACCACATTCTGTAATCCAGATAGGCAAAGCTTCCCCTGTAGATAAATTAAGTTCCCCAACTCTTTTATCCGAAGCCCATTGTTTTTAGTAACAATAAAATTGGATAGTGTATGAAGACTAACCAACTTACCTATTCCCATTGGCAATTCTTCTATGGAATCTGCACCTGTAGTATCAAGATGACGTAGGTCAATTAGGTTTCCCATATCTAGAGGCAACTTTTTCAGTTTTTTACATTCTCTTAACATCAATGTTTGTAGATTGTAGAGAGAGCCTAGTGATTCGGGTAATTCTTTTATATGGCTGTAGGAAAGGTTAAGATACCGCAGATGTTTCAAATCTCCAACCGAATTTGGAAGTTCTGTAATGAAATATCTACTCATACTGAGCACCCTCAAGCGTTTTAGCTTCGGGAATAGATTAAGGGGAACATTGCTTGCCAAATTATAACTCGATCTATATTTTAAGCCAAATGGTAAGAAAGTCCGTAAATGCATGGCTTTATCAATGATCTCAAATTTTTTCATACCCTCATAGTATTGCTGCATATAAGATGAATGTCGAGCTTTCTTTAGATTCTTGTATTGGTCTTGATCTTTCAATCTATCCTCTATTCTATGACAAATATCTCTTGCAACAACTTGAGCCAAATCATTGATGAGGTCATGCATCACAAATTTAGAGCTTTTACTGGTACTAGATGGTTGGAAAAAAGACCTTGACAACAATTCATGGAAGTACTCAGCTCCTACATCTTCCATTTGCTTCTCTTTTTGTTGTATAATGAAGCCCTTTACCATCCACAATAGGTCTAGCTCCTTTTTCTCAAATTCATAGTCGTTGGGTATTATTGAGCAGTATGCAAAGCACTACTTTAAATGTGAAGGAAGATCATGGTAGCTTAATCTCAAAGGAGGAAGGATGTCACTTTTATTATGTGGTAAATCCCATATTTTACTACGCAATACATTTACCCATTCCTCATCTCGTACTTTGTTACGTAAAAGGCCACCGAGTGTCCTAGCAGCGAGAGGCAAACCTTTACATTTCTCCACAATTTTCTTACCAATTGATACCAAATTTGGATTTGCATCAATACTTGTATTTGTAAAGGCATGTTGTGCAAACAATGACCAACAATCCTCATCTGATAGGATCTTAACGTCATGGAGTTCAATAGTTGCCATCATTGTTGCAATGTCTCTGTTACTTGTTGTCACCACGACTTTACTCCCTTGGGCTCCATCATTGAAAGGTTTTTTCAAAACAATCCAAGCATTGTAGTCTTCGTTCTAGACATCGTCTAAAATAATTAAAATCTTCCTTCTCGCCAAAGCCTTCTGTAGTTCAACTTGAGCTTGATCCAAGTTATTAAAACTACATGTTTAGGAAGTCACTGAATCATAAATAGTTTTTGTTATTTTCATAATGTCAAACTCATTTGACACACAGACCCATGCTTTCAGATTGAAATACTCCTTCACAGTTTCATCCTTGTATACCATCTGAGCGAGGGTGGTCTTGCCAATCCCACCCATACCCACAATGGGAATTACTCCAATGTTGTTATCACTTGATTCATCCCCCTTTACGAGAAACTTAATTATCTTACTCTGATCGTGTTTTCGGCCGTAAAGGCGAGGTTCATCAAATAAAGATGTAGACTCTGGTCTTTGCCAAGTCTTAGTAGGTGTGGTGGTTCCAACAATCTTAACCAAATTAAAATTTGAACATTGTTCAAAACTATTGTGCAATCTGGTATTGATCTCCTCAATCTTGGACTTCATTTTAAAATTAAAGATAACATCTGTTGGCTTGAAATTAGGGATAAGGTTCCATACCTTGGTGGAACTAGCTTGGCGTGGCTTTGCCTTGAGCTTGTGTTGCAAAGCTTCGGTGGGAACTCATCCACTAAATCATCCAAATCATATGCCAGATCCTGGAGATCGTCAAGCCATAGGTTCACGGCTGGAACTATCATTTGCTTCTCCTCTGCATTAATCAGAACAGCTTCAATTTGGCACAGCATCTTGGTCCAATTGGTCAGCTGGGTCTCAATACCTTCAAAGGCAGGTAATTTCGAGGATGCAAAAGAGGTCATCTTCTCAAATAGCAATTTGACGAAGCCAGAGAGAAAGATCTCTGCTAGAGGCATTGTTTCCGATTACAGAAGGAAAAGAAAAAACCAATAGATCAGAAGCCAAGCAAAGCAAAGAGGTTGTTGACTTTTTTTTTTTAGTGAAAAAAGCTTTAGCAGTCTCAAAAATGGCTATATTTTTGTGAGAAGAAGAAGAAATTGAGTGCTCAGAGTTAAGTCAAAAATAGAGTCTCCTTTCATTAGCCCTCTGTCACTCTGCGAAAACAACATATAAATTAAAAAATAAAAATAAAAGAACCCAAATATAATATTGTTAGTAGAAGAACCCAATTACGTTTGTTAATATGTTTTTCAATGAATTCATATCTCTATCATGGTTTTTCTCAGTTGGTAGAGGGTGGCTTAGAAGTTTTCCCATCTTTAACCAACAATATAGTTTTGGGATTTGGTTTATACATTTTCAATTTTGTTGGAATGTGATTTTTTTTGTTACTTATTGTTGAATTTGAAATGGAAAAATACTATGAGTAAAATAAAAGATGGACTGAAGTGAAATTCAAAACCAATTATATGATCACCTGTGTAATTAATATATTTATTATGTCGTTGGTCCCTATAATTTGTTTTGAATTTTATTTTGATCCTTCTAATTTTGCACTTAATTTTTTATGTTTCAATTGTTAACAACATTTGACGGAAAGATCATCTTATAACAAAATTTAAATTGTAAGGACTAAAATGTTCAAATTAAAATTACGATGACTAAAATGACACTTCACTTAAATTACAGAGACCAATGATTTAATTTACAGTTTAATTAATTTTTTTTTCTCTCTTTTGTAAGAGATAATTGAACAAGTGTTTTGACATGAATAATGCGTAGTAGTCTAAAAACACTAAATAATGAGAAATTTAAAATACAAAATGATTGGTTTAGATTATCAGACTGAAACTCATAGCGAACTCCATGAGTCTGAGCAACACTTTTCAATACAAATCGAGGACTAAATTTTTTTATTTTTTATTATATTTTTGAATATTTGCTTGATAATCATAAAAAAAAAATTCTTTTGTACCATAGTTTTTTTTTTTTTTGGGCCTTGATTTGATTTTGTTGTTTGTCTTATTTTCTTGTCTTAGGTTACAAGTTGATAGCATGCGAGCCAACAGCCTTGGATCTTCCCTGGAATCAAGATAGGGAAATTCTTTTGTACCATAGTTTTGTTTTTTTGGCCTTGATTTGATTTTGTTGTTTGTTTTATTTTCTTGTCTTAGGTTGCAGCCTTGGATCTTTCCTGGAATCAAGATAGGGAAAGTGGTAATGTTTGTTGGGTAAATTAAATTGGTAGTTTTGTATTTTGTCTTATCTATCGTTTTGATTCTCACATTTTTAATTGATTTAATTTTGATTTAAATTTTAAATTTTGTATTATTTTGATTCAATTAATAACGTCAATTAGTGTTTTTGAAGTAAAATTGTTAATGAGATGATTGAGATTGACTGACGTAGTTAAGAAAAATTATAATTTTGTTCCTAAAAGCATAACTCATGCTACTTATGTGTGCAATTTTCATAATTAAAAAAAAAAGAGTTAATGATTGCAGTTAATTAAGTTAAATTGAGACAATAAAAAATTTAAGATTAAAATTGAATTAATTAAAATTACAAAGGTCGAAATGACACTAAAACCAAACTATAAAAACTAGTGATTAAAATTTGTGCATATTTATTTTCTTATTGTAATGAATCTCAAAGGCTCAATTTTAAAAATTTGAGAAATATCAAAGATAATGGCATACAGTTTTTTGCCCTTGAAACCCAATCTGGCCCAAACTTGTTGGGCTTTTACCCAAACAAGGCCCAAATCCTGAACGGGTCAGCCCAAATGAGACTAGGTTTGGAATTGGACCTTGAATTTGAAACTTAGTTCGACCCAAGCATGTTGGGCCTTTTACCTAAACCAAGCCCAAATCCTGGGTATGTCGGCTAAAATGAGACTAGGCTTAGTATTGAGCCTTGAAATTGAAACCCAATGCAGCCCAAGCTCATTGGGCTTTTACCTAAACAAAGCCCAAATCCTAGACTGGCCAGCCCAAGTAAGACTAGGCCATGAATTTGAAACCCAACCTGGCCGAAGCTCACTGGGATTTTACTCATACAAAGGCCAAATCCTGGACAGGCCAACCCAAGTTAGACAAAGCTTAGAATTGGGCCTTGAACTTGAAACCCAACTTGGCCGAAGCTCATTGGGCTTTTACACAAATAAAGACCAAATCCTAGACATGCCAGCACAAGAGAGATTGGGCCTTGAATTTGAAACCCAGCACAACCTAGCCACAAAAAATTATAAAAAAAAAAAAAGCGAAGAAAAATTATTTAAAAAAAAAGACTCAAATCTTGGGCTAAGCTTGGAGGCTAGGCCACGAGCCCATAAACGTAGCCTATTTTGGCCCACTCATCAGTCCACCATGCAAGCTCACCTAGGCTTTAAGGTTTTGGCCCGTAGCCCAATGAAAGAGGCTTCACACATTTTCAACTTTCTACACCAAACAAGCCCATTATCATGTTGCGGAAGAATGGTCCATAAAATAATTGTGCTGATCTCTCTCATGAGCAAAAATGAACATCTTTCAAGTTTTAGGTTTGCCTTAATAACCATTTGAAACATGATGAGTCACTTGAAAGAAATAATAAATAAACCAGTTTGATTTATTT